ACAATCCAAAGGGTCATAAAACCAAAAGTTGGTTCTTCAAAAAAATGAACAAAACACACAAACCATTAGCCAGGCTCACAAAACAAACAAACAAAACAAAACAAAACAAAAAAAAAAAAGGCAGGAGAAAACACAAATAGGATCATAAACAAAAGAGGAGAAAATACAACAAACTCAGCAGAAATCAAAAGAATAATCAGCGATTACTATTAACATTTATAAGCAAACAAATCCAACAATCCAGAAGAGATGGATAAATTCCTAGAACAATATAATTATCCAAAGCTAGATAAAGCAGAAAAAGAACACCTAAACAGACCAATTACAAGCACTGAAATTGAGGCAGTCATCAAAACCCTCCCCAAAAACAAAAGCCCAGGATTAGATGGCGTCACAAATGAATTCTACCAAATGTTCAGAAATGAAGTGCCTATTCTACCCAACTCTTTCAAAAAATTGAGAAAGAAGGAATGTTACCAAATATGTTTTATAAAGCCAACATTACACTAATACCAAACCAAAGACAACACAAAAATAGAAAACTACAAGTCAATCTCCCTAATGAACACTGATGCAGAAGTACTCAACAAAATCCTTGCCAACAGAACAAACAATGAACCAAAAGGGAAATACACCACAAACAAGTGGGATTTATTCCAGGGCACAAGGATGGTTCAACATCCATAAATCAATTAATGTAATACAACACATCAACAAAAAGAAAAATAAAAACCATATGATCATATCAGTAGATGCTGAGAAAGGATTTGACAAGGTTCATGTCCATTTATAATGAAGGCGCTCAGAATACTCGGGATAGAAGGAACATACCTTAAATAGTAAAAGCCATATATGACAAACCCACAGTCAATATTATTCTCAATGACAAAAAGCTAAAAGCCTTTCCTGTAAGATCAGGAACAAGGCATGGATGTCCACTCTTGCACTGCTTTTGTAATACTGGAAGCTGTAGCCAGAGCAGTAAGACAAGAGAAGACATGCAAAGAATCCAAATAAGGAAAGAGGTCATCAAACTATCACTGTTTGAAGATGATATGATAATACATGAAGAACTCTAAATACTCCCCAGAAAAACTAAAGTAATAAACCACTTTAGTAAAGTAGCAGGATACAAAATCAACATGTAAAAATCAGTAGCCTTCCTATATGCAAAAAATTAATCTGAAAAAGAAGAAATTAAGAAAACTATCCCATTTACAATTGAAAAAAAAAAAATCAAATGCCTTGGAATAAACCAAACAGAGGTGTTAAGTGATTGATATAAAGAAAATTATAAAACAGTGTTAAAAGACGACGACACAAAGAAATGGAAAGACACCCCCTGCTCATGGATTGCATTATTAAAATGGTCATCCTACTGAAAGCAATTTACAGATTCAACAGTATCCCAATAAAATCTCAATGACATTCTTCAAAGAAATAGAACAAATATTGATGAAATTCGTATGGAACCACAAAAAGCCTCGAATAGCCAAAGCTTTCCTGACTAAAAAGGAGGAGAGTGGAGATAATACTCTATCAGACCTCAAGCTATACTACAAAGCCATAATAATTAAAACTGATACTGGAACAAAAACAGACACATAGACCAATGGAATTGAATACAAAACCCAGAAATAAACCCACAGATTTATCAGCAACTAATCTTTGACAAAGGAGCAAAGAATATGCAATGGAACTAGGACAGTCTGTTCAATAAATGGCATTGGGAAAACTGGACTGCTACATGCAAAAGAATGGAGCTAGACTACTACCTTCCACCATGCACAAAAACCATCTCAAAATGGATAAAAGACCTGAATGTAAGAACTGAAACCATAGGGCCTCCCTGTTGGCGCAGCAAGTTGAGCGCAGCGCTGTTAAGCCGTCCACAGCCTCTGAAGCGCGTGTTCAATTCGCGGCCGGCCAGGGAGATTCCCACATGGCGCAGCAGACCTCTCCTGTCTTGCCCACTGCTCCGTCTGCCTGTTCTCTCCCTGTTCTGTCTCTGGTGAATCCTCTCACCCTCCCACACCTCTGGCCTGTACCCCAGCTCTTGCATAAAAATAAATAAATCTTTAAAAAAATAAATCTTTAAAAAAAAAAACTGAAACCATAATATATATATAGAAGAAAATATACACAAAACACTGTATGACATACATCTCAGTAACATCTTTAAAGACATAACCCCCAAAGAAAAGAATGTGAAGGAAAAGATGACTAGCTGGGAATACATCAAACTAAAAAGCTTCAGTAAAGCAAAAGAGACATTAACCAAAACAAAGAGACACCCTACTGATAGGGAGAAAAATTTTGCACTCCATGCAACTGATAAGGGACTGATCACAAAGATCTACAAAGAGCTCACAGAACTCAACAAAAACAAAGTAAATAATCCATCAAAAAATGGGCAGAATAACTAAATAGACACTTCTCCAAAGAGGAAATGCAAATGGCCAACAGGCACATGAACAAATGTACAACATCCCTGATAATCAGGGAAATGCAAATCAACACCTCAATGAGATACCATCATCTTACACCAGAGAGAATGGCGCATATTAAAAAAACCAGCAACAGGGGCCTCCCGGTGGCGCAGCAGTTGGGTGCTGGGTTGCGAAGCTGCCCGCTGCCTCTGCAGCGCCGGTTCGATCCCCAAACGCCGGGAGAGGGTCCCACGTGGCACGCAGACCTCTCCTGCCGCCCGCTGCTCCCCTCAGCAGTGTATTTCGTCCGTCTGCCTCTTCTGCTCTCCGCTCTGGCTCTGGTGGATTCTCTCACCCTCCCTCACTTCTGACTGTACCCAGTGCGTGTATAAATAAATAATAAATAAATAAATAAAAAAATTTAGAAGTTTGTCAGAAACATAACATCCAGTTGTAAAAGGGTTCAGATATTTTAAAAAAATAAAAATAAAAAAACCAGCAACGTGAGGATGTAGAGAAAAAGGAACTCTCCTACACTGCTGATGGGAGTGCAAACTGGTCCAACCTCTGTGGGAAGCTGTCTGGAGGTCCCTCAAACTACTAAAAATGACCCATTTGACCTAGCAATTCCACTCCCAGAAATCACAAAGAATACAAAAACATTAATGCAAAATGATACCTGCACTCCTATGTTTACTGCAGCACTATTTACAATAGGTAAGAGATAGAAACAACACAAATGCTCCAAAATAGATGACTGCATCAAGATGTGGTATATATACACAACGGAGTATTACTCAGCAAGGAATCAAAAAAGATAAATTCATTCCATTTGCAGCAACATGGATGAAGCTAGAAGGGATTATGCTCAGTGAAATAAACCAGAAGGAAAGGAAATGGAAAAATATCAGATGGTTTCACTTACGGGAGGAACATAAGGGGAGCAAATAAGGGATCAGGAAAAAAATAGTAAATTTTAAAAAATTAGCAGGCAACTATAAATCAGAGAAAATCTACAGGGGAGGGAAAGGGATCAAAACAGGGGAGGGAAGAGCACAAGGGACTATGGTGATGGTGCATGGGTGAGTTGATTGTGGGAATTTTAGAGGGACTACATCTGAGAGAAGAAATCAAATACTGCACAAAAATGAATGATGAAAAATATATATAAATAAATTTTTAAAAACCAAAAATATTTATACTGAAAGTATATGTAGATGGTCTTTGTGTATTTGTCGCCAACAGCAAAGAAAATAAAAGAGAATATAAACAACTGGGTCCATGCCAAGCTAAAAAGCTTATGCACTGTGAAAGAAACTATCACTGAAACAATAACACAACCTATTAAATGGGAGAAAATATTTGCACACCTTATATCACACAAAGGGCAGATATCCAAGATCCACAATGAATTTATACAACTCAATAAAAAGAAAATAAGTGTCCCATCAAAAATGGGCAGAAGAGCTAAATAAATATTTCTCCTAGGAAGACATACATACGGCCAAGAAGCACATGAAAAAAATGTTCATCATCACTTATAATCAAAGAAATGCAAATCAAAACCACCAGGGGATACCACTTAACAACTGTGAGAATGACCCCTATCAAAAAGACCAGAAACAAGTATTGGCAAAGATGTGAAGAAAAAGGAAGCCTTGTACATAGCTGATAGGAATATACACAGGTCCAAGTCCCTATGAAAAACAGTATGGAACATTCTCAAAATATTAAAACTGGATCTAACGTATGCTCAGCAATTTTACTCCTAAGTATCTATTCCTGAAATGCAGGAACACTAATTCAAAGAGATATATGAACTCCTATGTTCACAGCAGTGCTATGTTCAACAGCTAAGCTATGGAAACAACCTAAGTGCCCTAAGACAGATAATATGTTATATGTACATGATGGAATACTACATAGTATAAAAAAAGATAACCACTTGCTATTTTTGACAACATGGATAGAGCTAGAGGGGATTATGCTAAGTAAAGTTAAGTCAAAAGAGAAAGATAATTATTGGATGGTGGCACTTAAAATGTGGAGTATAGAGAAAGAAAACAAAGGAGTCAAATAAACTCAAATTAATAACAAATCCTAGATATCTGAATGTAGAACTGAGGCTACCAGAGGAGGAATGAGAGGAGAACTTACAAATGTGTTGGGAGCAAAATGGATTCTGGTTGAAGACTAGGCAAGTTCTGGTGGTCAGTGAGATAAGTGGTAACACCTGAAGAGGGAGATCCTATACCTCTAAATCATACATAAACATTGTAAACCAATATTACCTCAGTTAAAAATAAAAAATAAAAAAATATAAATGAAACCCATATTCTATCACTAAATTCAATCACTAAAAAAGGACTAAAATTTTATGTTAATAGTTTTTCTTTGCATCTCATATTCTAAATTGAATTTCTGTGGAAAAAAGCCTAAGATGGAAACTTAACTGAATATATTAAAAACTTCACAGAATAAAAGTTATGATAAGTATATGACAAATACCATATTTTAATAGCTCCAAATAAATATCCAACCATGATAAGTTGATTGTATTACCAAACCTACCTTACTGTCAAGGCTCTTCATGGTTAAGAGATCAAGTGTCTTCAAAGAGTGACCTGTTGGTGAGATGAAGTAGAGGCACACATGGATACGAGAATCATGGTAGTTAAAGAGAGATCGCTTAATCTTCAGTTCTTCCTGGAGATAGGCCTCAAACTGAGCATCTATGTAGTCAACTATTGGTTGGTAGCTAAAAAAAAAATAAATAATTTATTACAACATAGTCAAGCTACCTTAAGATGTTTGTACAACTATGAAGTTTGAAATCTGTATTTTCACCTGTTAATAGTTATACCTATGCCAAATAGATTACTTGAATAATAAACATAGTGTGAGAACATGCATGTACAAAGGTAATACTTTAAAACCATCAGGACAACTTAGACTTTAAATTGTTTTACACAAAGATTTTAGGGGCCTCCCTGGTGGCATAGGAGTTAAGTCTCAGTGCTAAATTGTGGCCTAAGTATGATCCCTGGCAAGATAGTTAACCCACATGGCACAGGAGACCTCTCCTGTTTGGCCCGCTGCTCTCCTTAGCAATGTATTTCAGTAGATCTACCTGTTCTGCTCCCCACTCTGTCTCTGGTGAATTCTCTCACTCCCCACACCTCTGGGCTACAACCCAGTTCTTGTATGCATAAATAAATAAAAATGAATCTTTAAAAACAAAGATTTTACAATGAATTTACAGTGATTCATTCTCACATTCATTTATACAGTGGATCCCCCCCCCCTTTTTTTTTAAGATTTATTTATTTTTTTACAAGAGCTGGGGTATACGCCAAAGGCGTAGAAGGGTGAAAGGATTCACCAGAGACAGAGCGGGGAGCAGAACAGGCAGAAGGACCGAAATATACTGCTGAGGGGAGCAGCGGGTGCAACAGGAAAGGTCTGCTGTGCCATGTGGGATTCTCCCTGGCCAGCCGGGATTGAACCTGCACTACAGACACTGTGGACAGCTTCATAGCACTGGGCTCAACCCGCTGCGCCACCAAGGAGGCCCCAAGATCCTTTTCTGACAAAGGTTCCTGTACTTGACAGAAAGCTGAATGAGGCTTAGTATCTAATTGTAACCAAACTGAAAGATGGTATAGTATTTAAAGAAGAAAAGGCATGACTTAACAGATAGTTAAATCGAATTCAAAATTTCTCAGTTCTTGTATCAGATTAAGGGATGAAAAACATTAACATAATAAAGAGGAAGGACACATATCAGATGAAATTAACTAGTAATGGAGACATGCTTTATTTTTTTTAATTATAAAGGAAAGGCATATCACCTGCTATGCTCTAAGTCTTTGCTCAGATCCTTTTCCCTTTGTAGGCCTTTTCCTTCTAGCTATTTGATTCTATTCATCCTTGAGATGTAAGTCATATCACTGAGTGTGTGCAGAGCACTGTGTTAATCTTGCTGCAATGTTCCAATTCATTTTGATATGCTAAACCACTGCCTGTGCAACTCGACTTCATAATTACTCACATTAAGCAAACTGTGTTTCTGTGTGACAATAAGCCAACAGTTCCTCTGTTAAACTCTCTGGAAACCTTTATAATTATCTTTGTAACCCCAAAAAAGAGCAGTACCTTGTGTGACTGAAGTACTCAATAAATATGCACAGAAGTGAAATTTACCATAAAGTTGCCTCACCTATTTAATCCTTGGAGATCATCAACTCTCTCACAGAATATCTTGTTCACCCCCATGCAGATGGTAAGCAATGTGAGGAAAGAGAGAGTATCTTATACGTCTGTTTTCCACAAAAAACTAGAACATTATCAGAGGAACTATTAGGAACATCTGTCAGTATTCACAATTAGGAACACCATTTTTGGGAAGCTGGTTTAAATGTGGCCCAACATAATTACCTCCTCCAAATAATAAAATCATCAAAATCAATCTGAATTTAAGATAAAAATTTCTAGGAAGCTTTCATTAATGATTTAGAGTAGATCAGTAATATTATCTATTATATGATCTAAATAAATAGCCATAAATGTTCCTCTTTCTGAATATTTTGTAGTATTATGTGTCTCAAATGAAAACCATACACATTTTCTGCTAAATAAATACCACTAGGAATTCATTCATAGTAATTTACACTAGCTTTCCATTTTCAGTAAAGTGCAGACTCACTCTTCTAATAAAATGAAAGACACTGATTTAAAATGCAAAATCACCTCCTTAAAAACATCAAAGTTCTCATGAAGTGGTAAAGAAATAACCAGGTCAAAATTGAACAGTGAAGGGCCTCCCTGGTGGTGCAAGGGGTTAATAAGCACAGCACTGTGGAGCTGTCCACAGCCTCTGTGGCATGAGTTCAATCCCTGGCAGGCCAGGGAGCTACTACCCACAGGGTGCAGCAGACCTCTCCTGTCTCACCCACTGCTCCCCTCAGTCAGTCTGCCTATTCTGTTCCCCACTCTGTCTCTGGTGAATCCTCTCACCCCCCACACCTCTGTCCTGTACCCCAGTTCTTGTATGCATAAACAAATAAATATTTAGGGAAAAAAACTGAACAATGAAACCAAGAGGTAAGCAGAGTACTGGAGAATAACAGGCCAAATCCAGCCTGATGCTAGTTTTTGTAAGTAAAAGATTATTGAAAAATAGTTAATTTAATTTTTTGTGTTGTTTATGACTGCCTTTATATGACAATGAAAGAGTTAAGTAGTTCACACAGAGACTGCATGTCCCAAATAGATTGAAATATTTACTATCTGGCCTTTTATAGAAAAACCTCACTAACCCATTAATCAATGCTAGTTTTGTCCTGAGGCCACTTGTCAATACAGTTCTTGATCTTTGCTTCTGAGGGACTCACAGAATATATAAGAAGAAATCAAAGTCCAGGGCCCACACTAGGTGAGAATAACTGAAAGTGTATAAAGTCTCTTTATACTGAACTGAGATCCTAAAAGCCTATACCACCAGGGTAAGAATGAAGTACAAATAAATCTACAATTTCTTTCCTCTATTTAAGTATTTGTAAGAAGGTGACCATGGCACCATATGAAGTAGGTAAAAGAAAAGAAGAAAACAAAAATTCTTGCAAAATTGTAGACACAGGGTAAGAGACCTGGCACATACCTGCAGCCATGGTCCACAATGCACCTTTGATTCTAGGGACCTCAAAAGTAATAAAACAGGCTTAGGAATTCTTAGTGTTAATGCCCAGAGGGGCCAAGTAAATCCAAATTTGTTTGAAGGAAGACATCTTCATCATATGCCTCAAAATATTTCTTCAAAAAATAAACATCATCCAAGACAAAGGAGCAAAGAATAGACATTAAAATAAGGATAGTTTCTTTAATAAATGGTGTTTAGATAACTGGACTGCTACATGCAAAAGAATGAAACTAGACTACTTCCTCACACCATACACAGAAACCAACTCAAAATGGATAAAAGACTTGAATGTTAGACCTGTCACCATAAAAATGACAGCAGAAAACATAGGCAAAACACTCCATAACATACACTTCAGAAACACCTTTGAGGACACAGAAGCAAAGAAAAAAGGTGGGACTACATCCAGATAAACAGCTGGGTCTACATGAAACTAAAAAGTTTCTATACAGCAAGAGACAGTAACCAAAATGAAGAGACACCCTATTGACTGGGAGAAAATGTTTGCACTCCATACAAATGACATCAAAGACTGATATCAAATATCTACAACACAACTTACTACCAACACAAACAAAGCAAACAACCCCAATCAAAAAAATGGGCTGAAGAGCTAAAAAGATACTTCTCCAAAGAGGAATGCCAATAGGTATATGAAGAAATGCTCAACATCACTTATAGTCAGGGAAATGCAAACCAAAACCACAATGAGATACCTTAGACCACTAAGAATGGCCCATATATTAAAAAAAAAAAAAACAAAAACAAAACAAAACTGCAAACAACAAATGCTGGCAAGGATGTGTAGAAAAAGGAACCATCTTACACAGTTCACAAAATGCAAACTTGTCCAACCATTATTAAAGGCTGTGTGGAGGACCCTCAAAACACTAAAAATGGATCTCCCATATGATCCAGCAATTCTTAATCTACCCAAAGGACATAAGAACATTAATTTGAAAGGAAACCTGCTCTTCTTTGTTTACAGCATCTCTATTTACAATAGCCAAGTTCTAGAAACAATCTAAATGCCTCAAAACAGAAGATGAATGGATCAAGAAAATGTGGTATAAATACACAATGGAATATAACCCAGTGACCAAAAAAGATAAAACTTATGCCCTTTGCAGCAACATGGATGGCGCTGGGAGAGATTATGCTCAGTGAAATAAGTCAGTGGAAAAAGAAAAATATCAGATGGTTTCACTTATAGGTAGACTATAGTGAAACCAAACAAAGGGTCAGAAAATGGTAAAACTTGCAGGCTGACCATAGATCTGAGAGATACATCAGGGGAAGGGAATGGAGGGGAAGGAGGAGCACAAGAACTGTGGTGACAGTTCACAGTTGATGTGATGGTGGGAGAATTATGGGGACTACCCCTGAGGGGAGAAATAAAACAATGTACAAATTAAAAATCTAATTAGGTTAGAGATTACATCATTTCTAGGGTAACAATTACAAGAATAGAAATCAAACAAGTAGAAAAGATATGAACTGGGCCTCCTTGGTGTCTCAAAGGTTAAGCACAACACTGGGAAACTATCCACAGCCTCTGCAGCAAGAGTTCAATCCCCGGCCAGGTAGCTAATCCACATGGCACAGCAGACCTCTCCCATCGTGCCCACTGCTCCCCTCAGCAGTGTATTTCAGTCAGTCTGCCTGTTCTGTTACCCACTCTGTCTCTGGTGAATCCTCTCTCCTCCCGCATCTCTGTCCTACACCCATTTCTTGTATGCATAAATAAATAAATCTTTAAAAAAAATATGAAACTACCAAGACAACCAGAAAACACAAAATAAGATGGTATATTTAAACCTAAATGTATCAGTAACAACATTAATGACGCATGTATTAAATGTGCAATTAAAAGTAAGAATTGTCAGGATTTTAAAAAAGAAAATCATATGCTTAATAAGAAAATACATCTAAGCATAAGCATAAAGACTGAAAGTTAAAGATATAGAAAAGATATTCCATATATGAAGAATCTGAGACCACAGGTTTTACACAAAAGTATTACAAGAGAAAGAAAGGTCATAACATAGAAGTTTTGATTCTTCAAAATGCAGTTAGACCTTAACTGAAACTGAAAACATGACATACATTACATATATAAATATAAACTTGTAGGATGTAGCTAAAGCTTAGAAGGGAATTCATAATCTCTAAATGCATAAGACCGAGAATCAACGAGAAATTAATCCACACAAATCATTTCTTAAAAGTTAATGCAGGGTCTCCCCAGTGGCACAGTGGGAACAGCACAGCGCTGTGAGGCTGTCCACAGTCCTGCAGCACCAGTTCGATTCCTGGCCAAAATGTGAAAATAAACTGATTAAAGTGATAATGCTTTGCTGAAACTTATCAAGGAGAAAATTAAATAGAAATAACTAGTATCAGAAAAGGAAAGGCAGATACTATTACAAATGCAGTAGACAATTAAAAAAAGATATTAGGAACATAGCAATATTTTCAGGTAAATATATTTGAAAATTTGAATGAAAAGGACAGATTCCTGGAAAATTATAACTTATAACCATCACAAAAAGCACCTTTTAATTGTCTTATAATTATTAAAGAAAATTAATTATCCTATTAAAAACTAGAAATCTCAGAAAACTCCAGGTCCAGATGGTTTTATTTGTAGCTTTCACTAATCATTCCAGAGAAAGGAAACTCCAATCTTAACTATTTTTCCAGAAAATAGAGGGAAACCCAAACTCATTTTAGAAGACTGATGTAATTTTTTATTATTTTATTATTTTTTTAATATACTGCTGAGGGGAGCAGCGGGCGCGACAGGAGAGGTCCGCGCCATGTGGGATCTCTGCCGGCTGGCAGGGATCGAATCAGCACTGCAGAAGCCAAGGACAGCCCCACAGCGCTGTGCTCAACCGCCTGCACCACCAAGGGAGGCCCTTGATTTTTTGTAAAAAGGCAGTATAAGAAGAAAATATTGGCTGAAATCTCATATATACAAGATGTAAAACTAATAAAAGAAAAAAAAGTAACACAATATTAAAAAAATAGCAAATGGTATTCAAGATAGCAAGGTTAATCTTACAACAGAAAATTGGGTACTGTAATTCACCTGATTATAGGATTAAAGAAATTACAATCATTCTAAAGAATGCCCAAAAAGCTGACAAAAATATTTATCCATGATTTTAATAAAGGAGATTCTTACTGGTAATATAAATTAACTTCCTTTAAAAAAAAAAAAAAGAAAAACAAAAAGGAAGCAAGCAAGCAAAGCAGCAGCAAGCAAATATGCATAATATACAGTAAAAATAAAAGCTTTACTTTGGAGTCAGGATAAGCAAGGATGCCCACCATCAATACTGACTAGCCATCAAGATCCTGTAAATTCTACCCAGTGCAGCCAGCTGTTAAAAATGAAAGAAAAATAAGAACTACTATTTCCAGCTAAGGTGGAATAGCTGCAACTGGATTCACCCTACCATCTTAAACAACTAGAAGACTGGACAAAAATATTGTTAAAAGGTCACCAGACTTAACTATGATCACTGAGAAGGGAATAAATGTGGGAAGCACTATGATTCCTTCAGTTTACTGTTGGGGACAAGTTTCCAGAGCACAGAACAAAGATAAACCACAGATCCTGACATTTACTGAGTTGAGGAGACAGAGACAAGAGTTCAATGAGGTCAAAGCAACAAGAATTTTAAGACAGAAGGAAGCTACACACACAGTAAGAGCTAGAAATCTGGAGAGATGTCCCTGGAAGTTTTTGACAAAGCACTGATCTGCACATGGAAAATGTGCCAATGTACAGACATTTCCTATACTATAGCTGTGGTGGCAGTTACAAAATTATACATGTGTCAAAATTAACAGAATTGTACAATTCAAAAATAGTATATTTCATTCTCTCAATTATACATCAATAAAACTTACTTTAAAAAAAGAACTAGAAAGGAAAAATAAAAATGCCAACATTTTAGATTTTATTAAGTACAAAGGAGATCTAAAACAAATTCAGAGGTGAACTACTAGAATTAATCAGAGAATTTACAAAAGTTGCTATATGTCAAATTAATTACTTTCTATACACAATAGAAAACGAAGCATTTTTAAGGGATAACATTTATGAGAGTACCACAAACAAAAAATATCTAAGAATAAGTTTAAGTAAAGCTATATTAATTTCTTTATAGAAAATTTAAAAGTTAGTAAGATGTAAAGTAATATGTCATAAGTCTTTGCCGCTCTGCCACTAATCTGCTTCCTTCAGAAAATCCGCACGAATCATTTCTTAAAAGTTAAAGTTTGTTCAATAAATGGTGCTGGGAAAACTGGGTCGCTACATGCAAAAGAATGAAGCTTGACTACTACCTAACACCATGCACAAAAACCAACTCAAAATGGATTAAAGAACTAGACATAAGACCTGAAACCATAAAATACATAGAAGGAAATATAGGCGAAACACTACATGAAATGCACATCAAAGACATCTTTACAGACATATCACCCAAAGCAGTGATAGTGAAGGCAAAGATAAACAACTGGGACTACATCAAATTAAAGAGCTTCTGCACAGCAAAAGAGACAATAACAAAAACAAAGAGAAACCCCACCTACTGGGAAAACATTTTTGCACTCAACACGAATGATAAAGGACTGATCACAAAAATCTACAAAGAGCTGATGAGACTTAACAAAAACAAAGAAAATAATCCAGTCAAAAAATGGGCAGAAGAGCTAAAAAGAAACTTCTCTGAAGAAGAAATGCAAATGGCCAACAGGCATATGAAAAAATGTTCAACATCACTTGTAATCAGGGAAATGCAAATCAAAACTACCATGAGATACCATCTTACACCAGTGAGAATGGCACATATTAAAAAAACTAGCAACAACAAATGCTGGCGAGGGTGTGGAGAAAAAGGAACTCTCCTGCACTGTTGGTGGGAGTGCAAACTGGTCCAACCACTATGGAGAGCTGTGTGGAGATTTCTGGACCTACTAAACATAGAGCTTCCATATGATCCAGCAATTCCACTCCTAGGTATTTACCCAAAGGACACAGACACATCAATTCCAAAGAGCACCTGCACCCCTATGTTTATAGCAGCACTATTTACAATAGCTAAGCTTTGGATCAAAAAGATGTGGTACATATACACCATGGAATATTATTCAGCATTCAAAAAAGATAAACACATGCAATTTGCAGCAATATGGATGGAGCTGGAAGGGATCATGCTCAGCAAAATAAGCCAGAAAGAAAAAGAAAAATACCGGATGGTCTCACTCATATCAGGAATCTAGAAAACTTAAATAAGGGACCAGGAAAAAGAATAACTGTAAGAAAGAAAATATCAAAATCAACAAACAACTATGACCCAGAGACACTCTATGGGTGGTGGGGGGTGGGGAAAGGAGGGATTGGGGTCAAAATAAGGGGGTTGTAATTGTATGGGGAATATAAAAATAAAATTTAAATTAAAAAAAAAAAAGTTAATGCAGGGTCTCCCCAGTGGCACAGCGGGTAGAGCGCAGCACTGTGAGGCTGCCCGCAGCCTCTGCAGCACCGGTTTGATTCCCGGCAAGCCAGGGACATTCCCACATGGCGCAGCGGTCCTCTCCTGTCTTGCCCGCTGCTCCCCTCAGTAGTGTATTTCAGTCCTTCTGCCTGTTCTGCTCCCTGCTCTGTCTCTGGTGTCTCTCGCCCTCCCACACCTCTGGCTTGTACCTCAGTGCTTGTATAAATAGAAAAATCTTAAAAAAAAAAAAAAAAAGTTAATACAAAGCACATGAATTTGCTGAAAAACACTAACATAAAGAGAGTCAACTGAGCAAATACCTTCCCTCTAAATCAAACTTAAGAAACTAGGAAATTACATGTAATAATGATATATATACTTTAGAAAGGAAAAAGAACAAACTCTTGTTTTATCACAATCTATTTCCCCCTTTTAGTTTAAATTTCATAAAGAATCTATAATCAATTCTTATAATCCAAAGCAGAAATGGCAGGAAATGACACAATATAAAATATAAAACATGCATTATAAAACTTTTTGCATTAATGTTTAATAATACACCTCATTTGGTTAGAATTTCACAAACCAAAACATTCATACACCACAGATTTGGTCATTATTTATATTTTTCATTATGTATCTTGCTTTGTCTTTTTTTTTTTTCCTTAATGAAGTAAGTCCTTATCCTTAATGAGATATATCAATTAGTATACACTAACTGGCATATCAAGAAAATAATTAGAACTATTTTTCCTGCAACAGACTTTAATATCTGATTCAGATTATCCTAAAGAAATCGACTAGATTTAAAAAGTCAATTTGTTAACAAGAACAAAATACTGCTTAATTATTATGAAAACTACAGTCTTGAAAGAAAGGTATGGATTTCACTTTTAGAAAATCAAGTCAAAGAGTTCGTGGGATAAGAAAGCAAATGTCTTGAAATAAGAAAAACGTGTTTTATTATAAGAAGAAAACATGTACCTCTCTTCTTTGTTTATTTGATCACCAAATCCCACTGTATTCACAATGGTCAATTTCAATCGAACGTTACTTTCCTGGAGTTCATATGTCTGAGCTTTAAGTTTAACATGTGGGCAAAAATGTGAGGTTTCACGGTCTTCAAAATTAGTGTTAAATAATGTATCAATCAGCGTTGATTTTCCAATACCAGTCTCCCCTAAAAGAAACAAAACACATCTTCAGAAGTGCAAAAAACAAAGGAGAAAAAAAAATAGAGCTATAAACTAGAGTGGTTTCAAGGATCTCAAATATTTCAAAATTTCAAAGGTGAGTTGTCCATGAAAGAAATAACATGCCAAGTCTGGTCCACTAAGATAAAAGCAGAGCACACAAATAGTTATATATGGTAAGTTACTCAGAACTCTGAAAACAGCACTGAAATGTTTAAAAAAACAAAAAGTTTAGGGCCTCCCCTGGTGGCGCAGCAGTTGAGCACTGGGCTGCGAGGCTCCCCGGCTGCCCGCAGCCTATGCAGCGCTGGTTTATTCCCCAGCCGCTGGCAAGGGTCCCACCAAAAAAAAAAAAAAAAAAGTAAGTTAAAGCACTATAACTAAATACTGCAGAATTTAAATAAACAAATAAAACCTTATGATTGTAATCTGAAATTGATAATCTGTACATCATATTGCTTAATATAAGAATGGCGTGAGTACAAGATATATGAAGAAACTATTTAAAGGGAGAGTGACGGCACTTACCCACACAAAGAATATTAAAACAGAAACCTTGCTGAATGGATCTATTGACCAGCTGATCAGGCAAACTCTCAAAACCAACATGACCAGACATAGTTAAAGAACGAGTATTTTCTCTTTTTTGCTGAAGGAAAATAAAAACAGCAGAAACAGAAGAAAAACTTTTACTACAATAGGATATATATACATCTGAAAAATAAATACAGTTTATCAAAGAAACTATAGACTTGATCATTACACATCCTCCTTTGGTGCATCTTTATGACAAATGAAGTGAATTTTTGAGAAATCTGTACCCAGATGCTCAAATTTCTTACATTTTTCATATGATAAAAGTCCTGTACTATTTATAACAGTAAAGTATTTGATTCCCTAAAGTAGGAAATATCCAAGTAAAATACAGTATATTCATTCAAAAAACAAAATGTTAAGTTATTAAAGATGTTTATGACAATTTTTTAATTCTTACATTAATATTTCAAGTGAAAAAAGTACAAAGTAAAATTATATAGTTACAGCTCCCAGTAATGGAAGAGTTAACATGTCAAACTTACCTCCCCATTAATAACAATTATAATCAATTCTTTCAAGTCACTGGAGTGCAACCAAAGGCAGGCAAACATAGGCGGGGATAAGAGGCACATTTATGGGCTTTGCCCATAATGGTGCTCGCTACACAAAGAGGAAGATCAGGAGGGAAGCAGGCGAGAAGTCAGCTGGAGACAAGGCAGATGATGAATGAATGAAAATTAAAGGAATTAAAGGAGAAAATTCCAGAAAGGAGAGAGTAAAATATCTATAAACATCCTCAACTGTGCAGCTGACTGCTGAAATACACATATGTAGAAGCAATACAAATAGCCTTGTAAGGGGAAATGGGACTTGGAAGGAGGTAGGCAGAGTTTTTAAGAGTTCCATCCTAGGGAATAGAATTTTAAGTACGTAAGTTAAAAGGACTTGGAAAAAACTTTAGGATTTCCTCTGAAAACCTATATGTGTAAATTTTAGGAGTAAGGTTCACATCCCAGGAATCAGAAATGCTTTTAAGTGTGGAAGGCACAACTGAAACAGATTTGTACTATCAAAGCCTATATAATCAAGGCTCAACATAATCACATTAATTTACCTGCCTGCTACAACAGTAAAAACTCTTCAAAAGAAGTAAACAGAATACGTTACCTCTAAAATGTAGTAGCCACAAAATCTATTAAACCATCAAAATGTATTACATATGAAGCAGAAAAATGTGATAATCAAGAAAAAAAGAGTCAATGGAAAGAGATCCAAATTATCCAGATATTGAATTGCCTATAAGAACTTTAAATATGCTGTTGAATAAATATGCTAAAGAAGAAAAATATGCTTTCTCTATTGGAAAGAGATGGAGGTAATGAACGATATGACAGGGAATAATAAAAGATATAGCAAAAGCTCTTGACAACAAGGCAACAAAGGAAACCCTAGAAAGGAAAAGCACAATATCTGAAATTTAAAAAGTTACTGAACAGTATATGAACATCAAATCACACAATGAAAATAATTTTGTCCAGTAGTTACTATCCAAGCTAAATATCATTAACTATTCAAGCTAAAAATTTGTCATAAGAAGGATAGAACTGTAAGAGAGGCTCAAAAAGCTGTGAATTAATAAATAGCCACTAATCTAATATACTTACAATTGGACAGCAGATAGAGGGGGGAGAGGGAGATGATAGAAGAGTGAAAGGAAATATCTAATTAATGAGTGAGATTTTTCCAATTTTTAAACATGAGCTCAGAGATCCAAGAACCGCAGCAAATTTCAAACAGAAAACAAAAAAATGCAAAAGAACCTACAACTAGGCACATCAGTGCAAATGGTTTAGAAACAAAGATTATCTTCAAATTTTGAGAAAGTTCATTGCAAGGAGACCTATTCTACAAGAAATGTTAGAAGTTCTTTAAAAGAAAGGAAAATAACAACAGATGAAAACACTAATCTACAAAAAGGAATGAAGAGTGGCAGAAAGGTAAAAAATGTGGATTAAAGAGTAGAAATTTTTGCTTATTTTCATTTTCAATAAAATGTCCTTGTTTAAAGCAACAATACTGTATTACAGGATTTACTCAAATAGAAGTAGATAACGACAGGGCGAAAAAACAGGACTCAAAATGGAAATAGGTTGTTTTAAGATTTGAAGGTAGTTATGTGATTAGTTAAATCCTACATCAATTACTGTTTAAAAAATTAAAGACCAAAGATGGTACATATGGGTATTAAGCCAACAGTGGAGATAAAATGCAATTGTAAAAATGTTCTATACATGAGCTCTGCAACAGGCAGTCATGAGTCACAGGCAGATAATGAACACTTAAAATGTGACTAGGCCTAGAACTTGAAGGCAAAATTAAAGGAATTTTAGGCCTATTCATTCCAATTGAAAGAATAAAATTGTCAGTTTGGATAAAAGACCCAGCAACATGCCATCAATATAGCAACTGACAAGTTATTCTAAACTTATACATGTAAGTGTAAAAGATTTAAAATATATAAAACAATTTGCCAAAGAACAAAGTTAAAGGACTTATACCACCTAATGTAAAGCTACAATCCCCAACAAGTGTGGAATTATGCCAGTCAATAACTGACCTATTTGTTTATTTCATGAAAATGAAAGTGTCATTACAAGGAATATGTAAGTCACAGAGAACACTCAGAACATATAATAATTTTGTGCAATTTAGTAAGATGACAACCCATTTTTTAATTTTATTATTTTTTAAAGATTTATTTATTTATTTATACAAGTACTGGGTACAGTCAGAAGCGTGGGAGGGTGAGAGAATTCACCAGAGCCAGAGTGGGGAGCAGAACAGGCAGAAGGACCGAAGTACAATGCTGAGGGGAGCAGTGGGTGCAGCAGGAGAGGTCTGCACGCCATGTGGGACCCTCGCTGATGGCCGGGGATCAAACCGGCGCTGCAGAGGCTGTGGGCAGCTTCGCAGCCCAGCGCACAAATGCTGCGCCACCAGGGAGGCCCAACCCATTTTTTTTTAAAGATTTTATTTATTTATTTTTGCACAGCCCAGAGGTGGAGGGTGAGAAGATTCACCAGAAACGAAGTGGGGAGCAGAAAATGAAGACTAGGCAATGACCATTTAATGGCCAAAAGTGATCAAAAGATTGCTTAGTGACTATGACAGTAGTTTAAGCAAAGTAGAGATAGAAGGCAGACTAAGAGGAATTCAAAAAGTCTATGAGGCAATGACATAAAGATGGAATAGACTACTGCTAATGGAGAAAGAGTAAAGGGATAGTAGTTTGGTGGTCAAATTACAATTTATCAAAGCATTTGGACCTTAGCATATATAACAGAGAGAAAAGCAAGAGACTTTATTGGAGTAGAGAACCAAAGGAAATTTAATTGAATGACTCATGTTTGTATTTGCAATTTTCATTTTAAAAACGACAGACAGCTCACCTCTTTCACCGAGTAAAATTTACTACCTCTTTTTAAATATGTTTTAATATGAATTACCAAATCCCACCTATACAACATACTTAAAAGGCCTTGGAAGCACTAATGTCTGAGCATGCACTCAGAAAGGCATCTGATAGGTCGTCTAGCAAACTTCCTACTCTGTCATTAAATTCTCTACATCCACCAAATCATTCAAGTCCAGCAAAAGCTAGCAGTCTTCCTAACAAATTATGTGCAAGCAGATACACTGCACCCTCATTATTATTAAATTCCTTGCTGATTTTTTTTTGTAACTACAAGCCAAAGTCCGTCAGATCTCTGAGCAATTTTTCTGAAATCATAGAATTATATGCAGTACAATATAGATCTATATTAAAGAATAACTCACTCTCTGTTCATCATCAGATACTTGTGAAGATATGCAAGTTGTTTTTGTTGCCATATGAGACTGAAAGAGCTGAAAAAGAAAAAAATAGATTAAAACACAGATTAACTCTTAAAAACCCTATTCTAAATAACATTAACATTAAAGAAGAATTCTACTATTATCATAAAGTTTAACGTGTAAACTATAGAAGTGAATCGTGTTTAAAATTTATTTTCTTGCTGCATACAGATGAGTGTAATTAATATATAAAATTTAACATAAACATTAATGCAGTTACCTACAACCCCAATAAACTGTAATAAAAAACAAGTAAATTCCCATTTTTTTTAGTTTCTTTTTTTAGAAGTGGGGTATAGGCCAGAGTTGCCGGGGGTGAGAAGATTCACCAGGGAGAGCAGGGAGCAGAACAGGCAGATACACTGAAATACACTGCTCAGGGGAGCAGTGGGTGAGACAGGAGAGGTCGACCATGCCATGTGGGTTGCTCCCGGCAAGCCAGGGATCGAACTCGCACCACAAAGGCCACAGACAGCTTCACAGCACTGTGCTCAACCCGGTGTGCCACCAGGGAGTGCCCCCATTTACATTTAGGAGACAAATATCATTAATTTCATTTAAATGTCATTATTGCATTAAAAAAGGAAAATAAACTATTGTGCTTAAATAAGCTTTAAAAACACAGTATGCAGAAATATCTCATTTTTTTCTACAGTGTATCATTCTGCCCTGTATACTACAGCATAAGATGGTCTATCTTTAAGCAGTTCCCTAGTCTTTATTTTTTTAAAAAAGATTTATTTATTTATGCATATAAGAACCAGGGTACAGGCCAGATGTGTGGGAGGGTGAGACAATTCACCAGAGACAGAGTGGGGAACAGAACAGGCAGACTGACTGAAGTACACTGCTGAGAAAAGCAGTGGGCAAGACAGGAGAGGTCTGCTGTGCCATGTGGGTATCTCCACCACCAGCCAGGATCAAACCCACACTGCAGAGGCTGTGGACAGCTTCACAGCACTGCACTTACCTGCGCTGCCAAGGGAGGCCCAGTTCCCTAGTCTTTAATGACAATGAACAACTTTGTCCATACACATGACAAAATGGAGAACCTCATCATTACAACCCCCCCCCCCCACACACACACATACACTAGTAGACATTATGACTTGATTTTACAGAATGCTCACAACAATTCTCTCCTGGTACATTCCTGGTTATATAAGCTACCAAAGCTGGCCTCTGACTGAACCACTACTTACACAGTGTTTCTAAATCTGAGTAGCTAATTGAACACACTGTTCCAAAATTAAATTGCTCTCTTAGTTAGAACTCATATATAAAAAGCACACAACAAAAAAGACTGGTGATGAACATATAGATACTGACCATATTTTCACAATTTAAAAAATGAAAAAAACACATATATATAAAGCACACAGAATTGACTAAGATTTTGGTGTTTAACTTACATATACCTCACCCTCCTCCCTGTAGTCCCTACCTGTTAACCCTGAGCCACTGTGTAGACCATATCCCTCTCCTATGCCAGGTTAGAAAAGTGAGAAGACTAAAAAAGAGCAGTGATGATTATGAAGATGTGGAGAAAAGAAGAGATCATTAAAGTTTCCAGAGACGACACTGATACTGAACTGAGTCAAGAAAGTGGCGTAGCATCTGATGAGGTGGCATTTAAGTTAGAAAAAAATCCCTGTCCCAGAAGGGAATAAGAATTTCATATTAAGAGAAAGAAAACAGTAAATATAGGAATTTGGTGGGGAAAAGGGTTCATTGGTCTCCAAATGCAAAGTTAGGAATGAGGTTGAGAAACAGATTAGGGACAATGCATGAGTGGCTGACTGAGGAAACAGCCTTCAATGTCCATCTAGAGCCTCTAACTTGGTAAAGTCAAGTAAATGCCAGGGAAAGATTTCCTCTCTGTTCAGAGTCTTTTGTTAGATAAACCGAAGGTGAACATCCATGCTCAGTGTTACTTCCTGATATAACATGCTATCAGCAAAATCAGTGATGAAGTGATGCCCCACACATCTAAATCAACTGGATTATTTTGTGCTACCAATTATAAAACTTTAGTGAAAATTATTTAGTGAGAGTAATTTTCAGTTTTTAATATAATGGATAACATTATACACACACACACATATAAAATGGTTAGATTTTAATGAAATGCTGCTTTAGTGGGCAGTTTGGTTGATAAAATTCGCTTTAAAAATTTCTTACAAAATCTAAGATAGGTTTTATACTCATGTATCATGAAACTTTGGCTGATAATACCTAGGTTACATTTCTGTCAATTGTGTAAGTTCCTATCAAAAAAACTTTAGTTTATTCATCCCCCATGTTTTGATCAGGCAATATATGTCACATAAAACTATTCCAAAACCTGCTTTTATTTTCTACTTTCCTGAATTTTCCTACTTGACTAGTCAAATTTTCAAAATAAGGTTTGAAAAAAGACAGTTTTTCATAAACAGAACATTACTGAAGACAAAATAATAAGTGAACAATTGCTGACCCAGTCCTTCCAACAGTGAACCCTAAATTAAAAAAATCTAGAAGTGGAATTCCACTTCCAATTTGTCACTGACTACCTATTTAATATGTACAAATCTTTATACTGGATCCTGGAGGGGGTCTTAGGAGGAGTGACACATGGCCCTTAGCCTTAAGAACTATATCTCAGAGAAACACAAACTCATAATATGTAATCACAATATCCTTGTAAGAAACAAGGAAGACTACCAAAATCACTATCCAAACTTGACTATATAGCTTGTTTTCTCTTTAGGTTGTATTTTAAATACATACATACACACACACACGCACACACACACATCAATCTATATACCTACTAGCTAGAAGAAAAATAAAACAGTACCTTTAATTCCTGGCAAAGGCATTGTGCGTGTGTGTGTGTGGGGGGGGCATCATGCATGTATATCTATATGATACCCATGTATAAAAAACATATATATGTACAATGATGTGTATACCAAGACTCAAAGAAAAAGTGTCAGACACTTTAGGGTAGTTCAAGGTAGATCTGGTTCTTCTTAAAATTTTAGTTTAGGAAGTATGGGCAATACAACAAAGGTGGCACACATTTTTGTCCTTAGTTTCCTTTGGAGACATATAGTACATAACCTTTTCCTATCAACCTATTATGGAAAAACATTTGGTGATTCTTTAATAGGATCCTACATAATAATCTTTTACCCCACTTGCAAATATTCCTGTTATAATTGCCTTACAGTCTCTCTCTATATATAACAATAAGCCTTGGAGGAATAAAAGTTTCAGTTTTCCGCTTACAAAGTAAATCCAAGAAATGAAACCCATGTTTTCAAATTGTGTCCTAGGCTTCTATGAGGTGTTTCTTGGAGTTCTTTAGGGGAAAATAAGAGGAAGAGGAAGAGGAGGAGGAAGGTACAGAGTAAGAGAAGGAGGAAAAACATGGAGAAGGAGAGCGGCAAAAATTATGACCTGGCATCTGGGTTTATTATGTGAGTTTCAAGAGGACAGAGCTCCTAGGCTTAAAACAACACTTTGAAAGATTCCACAGACTCATTATTTAAAATAAATTTATTAAATCTGCAGGTTAAGGAAACCTTCAAATAAAATTAATGCTGACCACCAATTTTCCGGAATTTCTCTGAGAACAATGTGGGTATTGGGCAGCTTAAGGTAGTCCAAAGTCCCATAAAAATATCACCCCAATCTTACCATAACCTTCAACAAATATAAAAGTTAAAGGATAACTACAAAGTCCAACATTCAGCCTCAAAAGATCATCAAGACAGGGAAGTTCCTGATAGTAGCTCGTGTAAAAAAGAGTGAGGGGTTTCAAGTATAACATGTTACTTAAAATTAAAATATACATACAATCTAACCTGGAAATTATCCCCCCCCCTTAATACGAAAAGGAGTATTTTCTGTTTATTACAGAAAAAAAATACCATTCCTAACTATGTCATGTTAATAACATGGATATGGTGGCCATCCCTCCAGCAGCAGCAAAGGTCAGTCAACCACTTGCCACTCAGAACTCCTCCAAAGACTGCACATAGCTTGACAGACTACAGGCAAAGGGCCCTCAGAATCAACAAAGTATTAGTTCCAAAATCACTCTTTCCCCAGGCAGGCCCTAGCCAAGGGACTGAGCACAACAGGCATGTCAGAGCCCAACCCTTTCTACCTTACACACACCACCGTAACAGGTAATTAGAACACTCTCTCTCCAATGGTTGGCCAGACTTTGTCAGATTTGCATGGCCTCAAAACATTCTGCACAATTCTGCTTCCCAACCTCTTTCCTTTCACAGATCTGCATCAGGATCTGAAAGCTTTTTTTCTCCAGCCCCGCTTCCTTCCTTTCTCTCACACAAGCATTACCTCTCTTTCCCAACCCCCCCACCTCCAATCAATTGCTAACACTCATAACACTTCAACATCTGCTTCCCAAAGGATCCAAATAGACAACTCTAAATGTGCCAACCATTTTACACATCTGACCATTTTCTCATTCCTGTTAGAATTTTTCTGATAGAATATAATTACCAGTCAAAGGTACAAGCACATTGCCAAGCTGCTTACAATTCTAAAAAATAGTATATAAAAGTATCAATTTCATTATAAAATCAAAACAGAATATTAACAATGTTTAAGTGTCAATTTGACAGCAAAAAACTGACATTTTAACTTGACTTCTGGTATTTGTTTTTCAGATTACTTGCCTGAAAAGTACACATTTTCATATATCACCAGTTCATGTTTTTCCCCCATTTGCCTATCATGGTATTCCTTTTTTGTTTCTGTTATTAACAAGAATGTTGGATATAAGTCTATACTGGCCAGGGATACTACAAATATCTTCTCCTGATCTTTCTCACAGACATTTTCAATTTTCAGAGTACATTCTATTAATCTTTTCCTTCATGGTTTAAGTTGAGACCTGATGGAAAATAAGAATTTTCCTAGCAAATGAAAAAAGAAAGAAGAATCAATGTGTGCAAAACAAAAAACCATGCAAATACACTTGGTCTGGTTGGAAA